CGCTCCCCCCTCCCTCATCAGCCCTTGATAGTTTATAAATGGGTATTTTGTCATATCTTGCCCTATCCGATGTCTCCCTTTAAGACATGAATTTTTGCAGATAACCCGTGCATTTTTATGAAGTGGGTAATTCTGTTTCTGAAAGAGGATGGCAATTACTTCCCAGCACAGCATATGGTTTATTAATTAAGCAAAATGTTTTAATTATTTTCTGGAACAACAATGCCATCTTTTTTCCCCCTAACAAAAAGTACTTGGTTTATTATGATTTTAGTTAAGTCCTTTAGATTGATAGTCTGAACAAGAAAAAAACCTTTTGCTCTTTTCACTTCCCAGTGTTACTAAATTCATGCTAGTGAATTGAGGAAAGTAAAGTGCTCTTTATGTGCTATTAGGGAAACTTCCTTTCTCATCATTCATGTCTTACTCCAGGTGCTTTGTTGACTTTACCGATTGAATTTGATATAGACCCTCAATTAGCATTCTAACTACCAAATTATGGAAGGGACATACAGCAGTCATAGAAAACGCTGCTACTTATTTGAAAACATTTTCCAAAAACTGGAGATAGCTCCTAAATGTACTGTATTTTTATGCAAATAATGCATACACCACCTGTTCCCTTCCACCTCCCACCCCTCCACTCCACCCCCATACACATATACTCTTAAGAAAATATTAGCACAGTATGCTTACTGGGAGGGTGGAGGCTGTGGTGGTGGGGGGGGGAGAAAAAGGTATGTTTGCTTGAAAAATGTATTTAAAATTTTTTTGAGTTATACAATATTTTCTGATATATAATTTATGTTTGGACTTTTTAATTTTTGGAAATACTTTGATCAATAACAAGTTTGAAAGGGAACTGATTTGCTTATTGTTGATGTAAATAAAATATGAGCATACAGAATTAAGCTGATGGGAATAAAATATTCCAACATGGTAAATGAATAAAATGGATCTGACTAAATTCATTGCATATGTTTACGAGGTGGTGGTGCAGCTGCAAAGTCAAAGCGTGAGGGCCCGTTTGCATTAATAGTGTTAAGAGCCCGTGTGTAGAATGAAAGCCTGAGGGTAGTTCTGATTTCCTCATGAGATTATTGATCAAAATGATGAATAGAGTCATCCTCAGCCTCATGGGAATTAAATGAGATTAGGCTTACATTCTTTCTTGTTTCACTTGAGTCCTTTAAAAGAAGCGCTAGAGAAGCTTCAGATTATATCTGCTTTGCCTAAATTTTAAGCACTTGAATGAACTTAATTGAAAATTACAAATA